GAGCCTTCCCAAATTTATACTCAGTCAGATATGAGCTCGAACAATAGCTCGAGCTCAACTTTAGACTGAATTTAACTAACTTCTTAATTTTTTTTGAAATTTCGGCAACACTCCCCCTAGAAAAGTGCTATTCCAAAATTTATACAAGGCTAAGTTTAGAATTTTGAGAATAACTTTGACTTCTCAAAGTCCAATTTTGTCTAACTCCTTGAATTAGTAAAAATTTGGTCAGCACTCCCTCTAGAAAAGGAGACTTTCCAGATTTATACTAATCCATATATGAAAAAGACAAGCTGAACTCTGACAAGTCAAAAGTTGATCAACTTATTGGATTTGTAGAAATTTCAGTAACGCTTCCCGTAGGAAAAGTAGCTTGCCAAGATTTATACAAAGCCAAGAATAAGAAAAGATCTCAGAAAATGCAGGAATTGACACTAACTCCTATGGCTCTAGCACGTGGCGAGCAACTACAGCAACGACCTATAGTAATGAAACTTAAACAACCTAGCCATCTCATCCAGTCACATGCAAACCAAACCACAAATGTAAGTACTCTCACCACCCCAAGTTCATTCCATATAAATAGTTCGTGAATCTTCAAGTTTTTGAATCCTTATCCCCATCTTACATAAGACATAGAGCTGGATCATTCGCCATGGAAACAATGTCCAACTTGCCCTTATGATATACACGAACAGGTTGCACAACTACTTCTTTCTTCTTTTGGGCAGATGACTAGGTCATTCACCATGGAAACAATGCCTAGCCGCCCTGAGTTGTTTAATATCCAAAAATTTAGTATTTCCCTGACTTTGTTTTCAAAAGAAGAAACAAATATGGGCAGGGGACTGAACCATTCACAGTAGAAACAATGTTCAGCTTGCCCAAACTATTTTCATTTATACTTTGTATTTTTCTTTTTCTCTTCTTAATGATATGACTTAACGTTGAACCATTCACAGTAGAAACAATGCCCAGCTGCCAGTTCACATGCAAATATACATAAAATACTTTCCTTTATACTTAGTTTAAATTATGTGCGTCGTTTTAAGGCTAAACCATTCACCATGGAAACAATGCTTAGCCTTAGACCAAAAATTCTCCCTCAAAATAAACAAGAATTTAAACCACTTCAATCAGACAACCCTCAGAGTTAGCTAAGGTAGCCAGGCTATTCACAGTAGGAACAATGCCTGACTCCCCAGAAAACAATCAAATAAACACAGCGACCGGGCCATTCACAGTAGAAACAATGTCTGGTCCTTCAGAAAACATCCAAATAAACATAGCCCTGAGCCATTCACATTAGAAATAATGCTCAGGCTTTGGTTGACCCGGTCAAACGCATGTAGTCTACCTTCCTTCCACCTTCCCCCAATTCATCCTTAGTCTGCTTTCAATCAGAACAAAATAGAAACTTAGGTTTCACTCTCACACATTCTTTCCAGTTAGTCTGATTAGGTCATGAAGAGAAAGCAAAAATCATAGGGACAAACGCATGCATACAACAATCATACTGCAGGGAGATAGGCAAACATGGGTAGTAGTGGGGTTTATACAGATAAAGATGATTTACCTGAAGGTTCCCTGCCTCCAGAACTCCTCCTGAGTTCCGGCAGAGCTCCCGCAATCGGTGGGTGGACTCCCCACAGAGTCTTGACGCAGACTTACGGGTTGCAATCCCGCCTGCCACCTTCCTCTCGTAACCAAGGACTAGACTTAGATTAAGAAGGGCAAGAATGGTGCGCTCAGACTCGCAGGAGAGGGCCTTGGTATCTTATCACGCCTGAGGGCCCCGCAATGGTAGCCAAATAGTAACAGCTTGGCTCACCTCCAGAGTCAATCGGCCAAAGTCGGACGCCCGTCATCCCTTTGACCTGTAGCACTAAACCCCCTACTCGCAAGGCCTAGTCATCTCCTCGAGACCCAACACTCCTCCGCCCGACTGCTGTCGCGGAACTGCCTATAACAGTCACCATCGGTACGCAGCAATATATAACAACCCGCATCAACTGCCCGGGCACAGCCCATAGGTGCCGCAGCAACGCACAGTGGTGGTCAGCTGCAGTCTCCGCGCACAGTCCACAGTCATGACAATCAGACAGCACGGAGCAGCCACCCTGTGTGCAGTTTCCAGCGGCGGCAGCAGTTCATGCGTTGTACATAGTGGCCAGCCTCATCAGCTGTCCTTCTCTCTTGTCGACGCACGCTTTCTCTCCCTCTTCTTAGCGCACTCGGTTAGTCTTTTTTTGCCAGGTAAGCATGTCTCGTTCCCTGCACACCCTCTCTTCCCGTGTAGTCACCCCCTGCTTCTGTCTGCAGGCCGGTCGTCACAACAACGAGCCCGACACTTATCAATTGGAGACTGTCTACCAGGGTATGCCGACCTCACTAACAACAGTTCGGCCCCCTTCATACACCTTGATGGTCACACAGGGCTGGTGTGAGTCGATCGGAAATGTGGGTTACAACGGATGGCAACGGCATTTATCATGGCTATACCGCCGGCCCCGCGGCTGACTTCGTACTGCCTGCCTCAACGGTACGTGCGGAATCTGCCCCGCGGATATGGGTAGATTCACTCCATCCTTTATACAACGGCCAGCTACTCCTCCCGGGCGCAGCCTCCCATAGACAGGTGAGTCCAATCTCGTCTTCTTCTCCTTCTGAGTCGAAATGAATCTATCGAAAAACTGCAGAAAGACACGCTACCATCCCGACGTTCTTTAGGCAAGCGAATTCGTTACGAATCTGCTGCCAAAATGAGGCTAGGTGCATTCGCACCTTGCCAACTCGTTTTCCAGTTCCCTCTGCTTACCCACTAACTTTCTATTT